GTCGGACACAGACTATATCGGCATCAGAGAACACTTCGTTATCATGTGCACTGATTTACATAGCACATTCTATAAAGTCATTACGACAAATTAACTTGAATTTCTGTACACCATATTCGTCTCCACTTCTGTAGTCTTGTATACTACAATGTAAATAAACGTAGGGGTAAGTGACCGCCTCTGTGGTCTAGTGATCAGAGTTCCTGGCTACAGAGGTCCCGGACTCGATTCCCGGAGCTACCAGATTTTCTGAGAAGTAATGGGTCTGGAACGGGTTCCATTCAGCCTCGTGAGGATAATCGAGGAGGTATTTCAAGGAAATAGCGACTCCGGTCTAGAAAACCGGGATTAACTGCCGTGGGGATACGTTGCGCTGAACACGCGACACCCTCTATCCGCTAAAGTTGGCATTAACTTGGCCGACAACCGGCGGTCAGTATAGTTCGCTTGCGGACTACAGGCCACGGAGTTTGTTTTGTTTAAATAAGTAACACCCCATACAGACGTATGGTACTGGTACTAGCTGGAAATGAGTGGTCAGATTCGCGACTCGGCCGCTTTACCTCCGGAGTACAGCCCCTGGCACGGATAGGATAGGAGGCTGAGGGGGCCCCAGAGCCGGACTGGATGCTGTAGAGAAGAGAAAAGTTTCTTCTCCTAGATAGAAGTCGAAACGCAATTCCTCGGCCGTCGAGCTCGCAGCTAATCGATACCGACTTATCGTGTTGGTTACAACATGCACTGCGCAATTTAGATCATCTTTTTTTTATATGAGACAAACTCCGTCTTAAGTGCAACAATTTAATTGTAGTTCTTTCTTCTTCCCTTCCTCCACACTACATGTTTCGGCCCTAAATGGCCATCATCAGGTGTGTATTCTTACATAGCTGCTACACTGCCCGTAGTTTAAAATTTAAAATTACCAGTCTTTCCAATTGTATGTATGTATAAAATGTTTGTTAACCTACACGCGTCAATTTGATTTCTAAATTGGCACTTTTTTTTAAAAACTTCAATTCAAATTAAAATGTCCATAAATTTTCTCTTCTTTTTCTTTTTCCAAATTTTTAAAAATTAAAATTTCCTCGGGGTACACGCCCTATGTCTATAGTGCTGCAGCGGCCACTTCTTGTTTTATCGCTGTTCAGGTATTGTTCTGTGTAGGCTCTCTCTGTGTGTGTCGCTGCTTTGGAAAAAGAAAAAGAAGAGAAAATTTATGGACATTTTAATTTGAATTGAAGTTTTTAAAAAAAAGTGCCAATTTAGAAATCAAATTGACGCGTGTAGGTTAACAAACATTTTATACATACATACAATTGGAAAGACTGGCGATTTTAAATTTTAAACTACGGGCAGTGTAGCAGCTACGTAAGAATACACATGTAGTGTGGAGGAAGGGAAGAAGAAAGAACTACAATTAAATTGTTGCACTTAAGACGGAGTTTGTCTCATATATATTGTGTGAGTGTAACAGGATGCTTAAATATAATATTGTAAACACCTTTTTATATTATTATTATTGCTAGTGAGCTTGGACTAAGTCCCTTGTATTGCGGCCACTTCTGGCCTATTGTACCAACCCCAGATGATAGGTGAGGGTGATTGTGGAGCAATTGGTGGAATGAAGATTGGCAGGGGAAACCGAAGTACTCGGAGAAAACCAGCCCCAGCGCCACTTTGTCCACCACAAATCCCACTTGACCAGACCCGGAATCGAACCCGGGCCTCCGCGATGGAAAGCCAGCGACTAACCACTTCAGCTATGGCGCGGCCATAAAATCACCTTTATACACTCTACACGCTGTTCGTACCTGTCCTGGAATAATTTGTTCGTCTGTCTGGGCTACTTGCGATCTCTTGCGCGGCAGACATGTTGGTCTGTAAGCCTCTGCGCTCTTGTAGCCTGAATTTTAAACAACTGGAAGCTATCCATACCTTTCTTGGCTTCTGTGAGAGCAGTCAGGGCAACGGCAGAAGTAAGAATAGAGAAGGGGGAGAAACAAAATATAAATGGAAAGCCTAAGGAAAGAGAGTCCTCCGTAGACCTTATTACAGAAGGGAGAGCAACGACAACAAAATGGATATCAAATACTGGGAAAGGTGAAAATCTAACCCCATAAGAGACCGTGAAGGCTCACTGGGTTGTGAGACATCGAGGCTCCCACATTTTGTCTAGAAAATGGGCTCACAAATGAGAGGAAATATGTATGTAAAATTTTAGTTTAGCTACTGAACCTGGGAGACCTTAACGTAGATTATATGTCCACACGAAACAGTTGGGTCTGATGCTGTGCAGTATTTTTCAGCTTCCTTATAGTTAGTTGGATTGTAGATGTAAGGCAAAATTGACCCTTATTGTCTGTACTTTTTAATATTTGTACTCATGAAGTAGTCTAAAATAGGCTCAAACAGAGAAGAAAATCAATATCATTCTAAAGAATTATTCTAAACAACATGCATGGTAATGCACGGCATGCAATAACAGATGGCTTGAAATTAAGATCTACACCACCTTTACTTGAAACATGTTTCGATATGGTCTGTATCTGATAACAAAATGCAAGTAGCCTCTCCAGGGGCTAGTGAGGCGCACATCGTAATTACATACAGAAACAGACAGAAT